TTTCTTGCAAAAAGAATTCAAAACAAAACCATGTATATATATAAATATTTTAGTATTTTCACAAAAACATAAGTGATATGGTGGTTAAGGTGTTGAAGGAGTAAAATGGTTTTCACAAATACCATGTATATAAATATTTTTGGGCTTCGTATCGGGATATTATCGGGATATTATAGATAATATCTCGATATATTGCCCAAATCATTCATAAAAATGTTGAAAATATCTTCCCGATATTATCGGGATAATATCGATATATTGACGATAACACTATGGTTAGTTGTTACAATATCGGACCCCCAAAAATCAGATATTATCGGGATAATATCGGGGATATTATCGATATTTAATACCTTGACAGAGACATTCTCTCCCACCGCTAAGTTGGTCACTTTCCGATGTTTGCTTGCCGTTGCTTCTGTGCGCAATTGGCCACTTCACCAACTCGATGTACAAAATGCATTTCTCCATGGTGATTTAGACGAAGAAGTTTACATGCTTCCTCCACCCGGTCTTCGCCAACAGGGGGAGAAGTTGGTATGTCGGCTAAACAAATCCCTTTATGGGTTGAAGCAAGCGTCACGAAATTGGTTTGCCAAATTTACTTGTGCTCTTAAAGATGCTAGATTCACTCAGTCTATGGCGGATTACTCACTCTTTACCAGGTCTGCTAATAACTCTTTTACAATTATATTGATTTATGTGGATGACATTGTTATTACAGGAAGTGATCCAAAGGCCATTCAATCACTCAAGGATTTTCTCCATACACGCTTCCGCATTAAAGACCTTGGAAATCTTAAATATTTTTTGGGCATTGAGGTTGCACGATCAAAGAAGGGAATTTTTATTTCACAACGCAAGTACGCGCTAGACATACTTGATGATGCTGGGCTCTTGGGGTCACGCCCTTACTCTTTCCCTATGGAGCAGACTTTGAAACTCAAGCCCACTGATGGAAAGCTTTTACAGGATCCTTCCAGGTATAGACGGCTCGTAGGCCGCCTCATTTACCTCACAGTAACACGACCTGATATTACTTTTGCTGTGCACGTCCTTAGTCGATTTATGCACGAGCCGCGCCAACCTCATCTTGATGCAGCCCTTCGTGTATTGCGTTATCTAAAGGAAGCTCCGGGACAAGGCATTCTATTCCCTGCACAAAATAATCTCAAGCTACGAGCCTTTTGTGATTCAGATTGGGCGAGTTGTCCCGTTACCAGAAGATCAGTAACAGGCTATTGCACTTTTCTAGGTAATTCCTTGATTTCCTGGAAGACCAAAAAACAGAATACCGTGGCACGCTCATCCACAGAAGCAGAATATCGGTCCATGGCAGATGCATGTTGTGAGCTCAAATGGTTACGATTTATACTGCAAGATCTTGGCATTGAGCATTTGGAACCAGCAACCTTGCATTGTGATAATCAATCAGCCCTATATATTGCTAAGAATCCTGTGTTTCATGAACGAACCAAACATATTGATCTTGATTGTCACCTGGTTCGACAAAATATTCTATCCGGCCTAGTGTCCACTACCTATACGCCTACCGCTCTACAAGTTGCAGATATTTTCACCAAGCCCTTAGGCAAGGCTTCTTTTGGCACTCTCTTAGGCAAGTTGGGAGTCTACAATATACACTCTCCAACTTGAGGGGGAGTGTTAAGATATGAAATAGCTGTAAATATTTGTTTCCTTGTCTAGATAGTCAACTGCTTTAATTTAGGACTAATAGAAGTTCACCATATGTAGCCTACCGCTCCCTCTTTATATCCTTGTATCATTAGAGTTGTAAACATATACAGAAAATATATCAAATACCAATTTTACAAAAAGAAGACAGTCAATCATTGAATACGGACCTACACAAAGATTCCAGAGTCGGTTCCTTCATGTGTATATCAACATTGAAAAATAATTTGTGAAGAAAGTTTATAGCAAGATAAGCGTCATGAGAAAAAGTATTTAGAAACCCAACCTAACAAGCAGAGAGTATGCAGTCCAAGCCCGCGATTTTTCTAATCTTGTCGTCAAAGCTACCAGGCCCCCAAGTTTCAGTGAAGAATTGAATTGAAACTCTCTCCATAGTGGTTTAGTTGTAATCCACAGATTCCAACTGCATTTGTCACCGAGGCATTAGGCACTACTTTCCACATCAATCCCCAACTTCGTGGCTTGGACAACAAGATCAGTGTGAGTTGTAGCTCTGTGTTCCAGATCAAATTATGCAAGAAACGAATTCAGAAAAACCCAATTGATCAAATAAGTCTCCCATTTAATCATAATTCCTATACTCTATTTCAATTGATCAAATAACCCAATTAAAACATAAAGTTGTTTGGAACCAAATTTTAATTACTTAGTAAAAAATAGTCCTTTGGAAACAAATATATTCTTTTCTATCCAAAAAAATTTGGAATGAAAATTCTTTTCCAAAAAATTTCGAAATTTAACATATTTTGGAAAATTTCATAAAATTCTTGAAAATATTAAGCATGTCTAACTATTTAAAAGGCTAAAATTAGCTCAAAATTGAAAAATCATACGAAAAACTATTATATGTTATGACTTAGATGTTGTTACATTTACGAAATTACTCCTCTAGGTCTATTTGGTCATATTTAGTTCAACATGAAATTAGTCATGTGTGTAATGTAAAGAGGCTATACTATTTATGAAGGGAAAAAAAAAAAAGGGACCCCAGTAAAGCCGTTCGGCTATACCCATTTTGGTAAAAATGGAAAAATTTAGTCAATTCTTTGCTAGGAAGTTTAGTTATTGCTCTTGGTTGGGGCTGGGAGAATTCTCTTAGAAAATAAACTATATCCCTTCTAGGCTGAAAGAACTTATACTCTAGCAGCTGTACCTTGCCAAAGTCCCGGGTTGGTGTGCTGTGCAACATCCTTGCCAAGAGTAGTTCATGTGAAGACCTACTGCAGGCTATTTCAGCAAGAACCTGATTGCTTTTAGTCCACTTCGTTGTTGCTTCACTGGCCAAAAATGCATCGCGTTCAGCTGGATCAAGTGTCCAAAGCAGTATACTCCTCTGGTTAAGAGAAACCCAAATATGTCAGCCCTTTCAATGATGCGCTTGCTTCCTCCCAAAAGTTGATCAGCCAAACATTGAAAGTTAAAACTAGCATCATGGATTCTCATCAAATCATGGTAACAATTTATGACCTAAATCTCTGCCTTGTCTTGGCAAAAATCAGTCATGGTAACAATTTATGTAAAACATGCAGTCAAATTATCTCAACTAATGCAAAAACTAGAGTGCATTCTTAATTTGACCTCAAAATCTCTTGTAAGTTCTTTTTCCAGCTCCTTGAGGAGATCTTCTCCATAAGCTTCGGCATAAGTTTGTCGGATCACCTTTCTTTGAGCGGCATTTCTATGCCCCAAGATGGATATGATTAAGTCCTCATTGGTTCCCCATCCTGCAATTGTATTAATAAAAATTCAAGATTACATGAAACCAAACACCCCAATCATGAAAAGTCACACCACACACACATAAAAGAAATAAAGAAAAACTCTGGTCTAAACTATTTTAGCTGTTTTCTATAATTATTTTTCATGTCAAATCAGGTCCTTTACAAACCTGCTATAAATCTATACGTACCGATCATTGTTTTTTCTTTTTAGAAAAATTATCCCAAATGCATTATTTTCTTCTGATACAAACAGAGCTTTGGTGCAGAGTGAAAGCATCACCGTTTTACAAAAGCAAGCAATCACATTCATATGGGCCCTTCATCAACCCACCAAACCTCATGTACACAAAACACAAATCTGATGCATCTGATCATTGATGACAGAGTGAGTCAAAAGAGAATTAGCAGAACGAAATGAAAAACAAAAACAAAAAGAATCCTTTTTACATTATCAGATCATTTACGTTGTATCTAACACTAACAATCGGATCGGTGAAATGGGATTGATTAATCATCAATCATAAAGCCAATTACAGAATATGGGGTGGTTTATGATGAGAACAAGAAATTATGCGAGGGAGTAAAAGATCAGAAAAATAATAAAGAAGGAATCTTTGAAGGCCTTTTTGAGCTGCTCACAGTCTTCGGATGCAGGAGGAACTTGTTGAGGAACTCTCAGGGTCGACATCGTCACTATAGCTCTCTCTCTCTCTCTCTGTAAGAAAATCGAAAACGAAAATGGCTCTGGTCTATGAACCTCTGTTTCTATATTATATATATATGGTCTTTGGTAGCTATCCATATATAGTGATATAGTATGGCCCTGAGTATATAAAATTATCGCCACGTCAAATACTATATTTGTTCCTGTTATATTGGTCTTGGTCATTTAATTTTCACAATTTAATTGTTTATTATTGATTTTGGGGCGGTTTACACAGAGTATATAAAATTACTAAACAAAACCCTTCTTTTATTTCATTTTGTTTTTCCTCACAAGGATAAACAGACTGTAAGGAAAATTCTCCAATTAGTATTGTATGTTAAGGATAAACAAACTGTAAAATATCCTAAATAAAGTATACACAGAGCCATAGCATAGCGCACACATGCATGAAATAAATTACAAGAAGGAAACATCTATGGAGAATCTTTCTAAACAGAAGACACAGGAAAAGTGAAATGTGCATAAGAAAGAAGCATATTCTGATCAGGTAGCCAAAGGATCAAGAGCAAGCAATTCACCACATGTTATCATACATAATGGCTTTGACAAATGCATCCTCTGAGTTGAGAGAAGTTGAGAAACTTGTTTCATTGTTGGACGAGATTTCGGACTGGAATTCAAGCATGAAAATGCTATCTTCACAAGAGAGACCACTTCGCTTGCAACTCGATGCGTAGGAGGGGAAATGCGTTGGTCCAAAACATCTACAATTGGTATTTGATGTGCTGGTAATGCAGATGATGATGAGGAGGAGTAGGATGAAGAGACTGATGAGAAAGATGAGAAAAGATCTCCTGGATGCTTTCCCATAACTATTTCAAATGTGACCACACCAAAGCTGTAAACATCGCAGTTCTCATTCACTTCCATTGTGTAAGCAAGCTCTGCTCAGAGAAAACCTCATAGAATTGGCATTATTAGTATATAGACATAACTATTCAAAGGAATTTTAACGAAACTGTATCATGCATAAATCGAATTATTAGTTTATAGTCATACTTTCTAAATCAAAGAAGTGAAAATGTGTTTATGTTAACCGCTCCTAATGATGAAAATGAAGCATTGGTCTAAAAGCAAAAGCCCAAAAAGTGCTAAATATAGAGCACATGGAATCACAATATTACCTGGTGCAATGTAGCCATATGTGCCTACAGCGGCCGTCCAATTAGTTGAGTCTGGATTTAAAAACTTAGCAGTGCCAAAGTCTGAAACACATGCCTTATATTCAGAATCCAACAAAATGTTCTTGCTTGAGATGTCACGATGTACAATTGGTGGCAAGCAATCGTGGTGCATGTAAGACAAGGCATGAGCTAAGCCTTTAACAATATTCACCCTTTTACTCCACCCCAACTCTTTAGCTTCTTCATCTTTGCTCAACATTGCTGCCAAGCTACCTCTTTCAAGATACTCATACACCAAAAACGAGTGTCGTTTATGTGCGCAGAAACCATAGAGCTTCACAATATTCTGATGCCTTATCCCACTGAGTGCCCTTACTTCATTCAAGAACTCCTTCTGAAATTCTGTCTCACCATCCCATAGCAGATGGAGTTTCTTCACGGCCGCTACATCTCCAGATGACAAATTCACTTTGTAGACACTTCCATGTCCTCCATTCCCAATGCAATATGTGGAATCAAAATCTTCTGTTGCCCTTATGATTTCCTCATACATTGATTTTCCATCAAAATTTAAAACCGAAAAGGAAATTTCTCCATGCATGTGGTTTTGTTTAGTATCTTGATGGTTCTTCTTTCTTTGCACTATTACAAAGACAATTGTAAAGAGAGCAGATAGAAGTACAAATACTGCTAGAAGATAGAATATGACCTTGTGGTCCTTTTTTGGGCCCTGTGCATTGCAGGGTGGTAACAGAGCTCCCACTTTGCCACACAATCCTGTGTTCCCTTTCAATCCTTCTGGTAGAGCTTCTCGAAATGCACTGATGTTGGGAAGGGGACCTTCTAAGTGATTGTAGGATATGTCAACGTACGACAAGCCGTGCATCTCTTCGAAACTTGATGGTATGGAACTCGAAAGATTGTTGTGGGAAAGATCAAGTGTGACCAAACTCTGCATAGTACCCATTTCTGATGGTATCTTACCTTCAAGTGAGTTATGACTTAAATCCAAGTCATTCAATTGAACTAACTTCCCCAACTTAAATGGAATTGTTTGAGTCAACTTGTTGTTGCTCAAATTCAAGTAGTGCAATCTGAACAAGTCACCTAGAATGCTCGGAATTGACTCATTCAATTTGTTTGTTGATAAGTCAAGATATTCAAGATCATTCAATGATCCGAATTCCGACGGTATACGACCCGAAAGTTGAGTTCCATTCAACATCAACTTCACCAACGAAAACAACTTCCCGAATTCTTTTGGGATCAACCCAACTAAATGATTTGAAGAAATGTCCAACACATGAATTTGGGTTGCGTTGCCTACCTCAGGTGGTATGCTACCAGTAAGGTTGTTTGCTGCCATTACTAAGGTTGTCAGCTTTGGGCATTGTCCCCAGTTGTGTGAGATTTCTCCATACAAGTTGTTGTGGCTTATATTCATAAAATCAAGATTCGGATAAACACCGAAGTCTTCAGATATATTGCCCGTCAATTGGTTTTGGTCAAGGCGGACTCTCACTAAGCTCGTGCAATTTTTCAAGCTTTTGGGGATTGGACCAGTCAAATAGTTTCTAAATACTGAAAAGTATGTGAGTTTTCCACCTTGGCAGATATTTGGGGGCAAGTAACCAGACAATTGGTTTGTATCCAAGTACAGTTGAGTCAAATTCTTGAGATTCTCTAACTCTTGGGGAATGGAGCCAAAAAGTTGGTTATCGCTTAGGAATAAGAACTCCAAGTTGCTCAAGTTAGCAAATGAAGCTGGAATTGAATCGTTGAGTTGATTAATGCCCAAGGATAGGTTTACGAGAGATTTCAAGTTCTCTATCTCCTTGGGAATCAAACCAGAAAGTTGATTAGAATGCAAGTACAAAGCGTTTAGGTTTATTAAGTTACCAATATTTGGAGGGATGAGACCACTTAAATTGTTTGCTGACAAATCTAGAATTAGTAGAGATTTCAAGTTCCCTATCTCCTGGGGAATCAAACTAGAAAGTTGATTGGAATTCAAGTACAAAGTGTTTAGGTTTATTAAGTTACCAATATTTGGAGGGATGAGACCACTTAAATTGTTGTAGCCTAACTCTAGAACTACAAGAGATTTCAAGTTCCCTGTCTCCTTGGGAGTCAAACCAGAAAGTTGATTGGAATGCAAGTACAAAGAGTTTAGGTTTATTAAGTTACCAAAATTTGGAGGGATGAGACCACTTAAATTGTTAGTTGACAAATCTAGAATTAGTAGAGATTTCAAGTTCCCTATCTCCTTGGGAATCAAACCAGAAAGTTGATTTTGACCCAAGTACAAAGTGCTTAGCTTTATTAAATTACCAATATTTGGAGGGATGAGACCACTTAAATTGTTGTAGGACAAATCTAGATCAACAAGAAATTTCAAGTTCCCTATCTCCTTGGGGATCAAACCAGAAAGTTGATTACCATAGAGATAAAGATGGGTAAGGCTTGTTAGATTGCCTAGTGATCTTGGAACTGAACCGTTGAGTTGATTCTTATACAAAGCTAGCTTTAAAAGAGATTTCAAGTTGCCAGTCTCTTTAGGAATTTCCCCCAACAATTTATTTTCAGAGAGATAAAGAAATGTAAGATTTCTTAGGACACTGATTTCTGGTGGGATTCTCCCAGAGAACTGATTCTGGGAGAGATCGAGATAGTGGAGTTTGGAGAGGTTACTGATTTGAGGTGGGATGGCATCAAAGAGTTTGTTGAAGCTGAGGTCAAGATATTCAAGATTAGGGAAGGACAAGAATGAAAACTCATGTAGCGTACCTAGAATACCACAAGTGGAAAGGTTTATCGTTCTGACACTTCCAGCTGAGTTGCATGAAACACCAGTCCAAGTGCATGGGCTTGTTCTTGATTTTGGATTGCTGCTAGAAGAATTGGTGGCATTAATATTATGAGTGGGAGGGTTGTACCAGGTGAGGTTATTGAGGGCTTGATTTAGAAATAAGCTGACTTTCCATTTGAGAAGAGCCTTTGCTTCAGTATCAGAAGTAGAGGTAGCAGAAGGAAAAGCAACCCAATTTGGTGATGAAACATACAAGAAGATGACAAGGCAATAAGGCAGGAAGCATAGGTTAGCGGAAGTTAAAAATGTCATGGTTATTGTTTGTGTGGTATACGTATATTGTATGGGCCGTGCCTTACTACTTATATATAGTGTGGGTTAGTCTTTGGGGTTCAGTAGTTTAGCATTGAAAAGTCTTTGAGAGCGTGTTCCTTGTGCTGATTAAGTTGTGTGAGAACCCGTGTTCTTCTTGGACCTCAAATTCACACCTGAATGTCACCATGGCATTGGACAATGAAATTATTGTTTCATTTTTCCTTTCCCTCTCACAAGGAAAAACATTTCTAAGTAACAACGGTTTGGGGTTTTCACACTGAAAGTCTTTGCCCCTTTTCTTTAAAGTTGGAAAAAAACAACTTTTGCACTTTCTCAAAGCATGATTAACACTGAAATTGCGGTATCCATCACGACTAGAACAATTCAAATAAAACACGCTTCTTGCTTTGCTTTAGTGGAAAAATTAATCCACTCCAGCTGTCCCCAACAAATCTGAAGAGGAATAACTTGTCAATGTAATTTCATCCACGCCATTCATTTCTATCCTTTTTTTTCTTCTTTCTTTCTAACCTAAATCATCACGTGAAGTATAAGTTTCAAAGTAATGATAGTTGTATACATTTCCTAAATTTTGATGGGTGCGTTTTTGCTCACTACTTTAATTCAAGGTGTATCATTATTACATTTCTCAACATTTGACATGTGTTTATAGGTATAATCATAGTTGGTTCCACAAATACAAATCAAAGAGTTAACTATAATTATGCCCATGGATACGTGTCAAGTGTTGAGAATAGTGGCTAGGATACACCTTAAGTTAAAGTGGTGAACAAAAATACCAAATTTTGATAACATTTGTGACATTCTAAATTTTTATTCAAGCGCTTTGACTTTCACCCACTATTTGTGTCATAATCGGCACTTTTATTCAGGTTTAGTCCCTGATGAATTTATTATGAGCTAACTTGTGGCTTATATGACCTAATTTCATGAGCATTCCACAAGTGATTAGCCTGAATTGTGCTCCAACCAATCTTACCCATTAAGGAGTTGATTCTTACTATGTTAGGGTAGAAAGCTGGTGTATGAACAAACTTATTAGACGCAAAAAGGTTATCCCCACAATTATCATAGTTGATATCAGACTGGTCACATTTATCATAAACAAATTCCCAAATAATTCCAATATAAATATGAGCGATTTCCAATTGACAACTCCTACGAGATCTCACCATTGCTTTTGAAGATTGCTCTGCCATGCCCACTGGTGGACCCACAGAGGCGCAAGGAGGTGCAGCTTGGAGTTTTCCATGCACTTGACTTTGCCATTCTCAAAGGGGTCGCGTGCGCATTACGTGGGAAGAGTAACGGAGAAATGGATGAAATCAGACAAAATTTGACATTAGGGACCTAATTGACTATTTTTAAAAAATTCGTATCCTTAATTTACCGAAAAAATAATCAAGGGTGCAAATTGACAATTATGGTATAGTTCAGGGGGCAAAACCACATTTAAGCCATGTCAAAAAAAAAAATCATTAAATAAGCAGCATATAGTAAATTAACAACTTTTCATATTAAAGAAAATTAAAATAAAAACCAATAATATTTCTATATGGACACTGCTTCTATCATTTCCGATTTCCGATAAGAAGGTATTCATACTTCCTGCAAATCACAGTATGCAAATCACATGTCAAACTGGAAAGCAGAAGTTTCGCTCCTACTTCCGGAAGAAGAGATAAGTATTTTTCTTCCTATATGTATGGTAGCTTTTCCCTATTCATATAGTAAGTAACTTTCCACTTTTCTTTTCTCCATTCAGATGCGTGTGTCCCACCTTAATGCTTCACAATATTGGATGCTCAGAATGTTTTAAATTTGGACGACGTGTCTGGTGGGATCAGCGACTGTTTTTCTTTTTTCTTTTTCTTCTTCTCTAATTGGTGTGTGTTAGATAAATTGAAGAAGAACTAAACGCAAAATTGTCGTTTATTGTTTTGATTTACCATGCATAGGAATAGGAATGTGAAATTGATCCTTTGCTTTCGTGAACTTCTTTGCTCCAAATTTACCTAGCCTCAGAATCAGGTCAAGTCCTTTCCATTGTTACACTGCAAAGAACTTAACAGATTGAAATGAAATTTAAGAGGGCGGAGTGATTGCTCTATCCGTGGTGTTCTATTTTTTATTTTTTGCTTGCAGCTTTTACAATATTTTTTTTTGGGGTCTCTAAAGAAAATTGCTGGGTCTCTATGACACATTGAAAAATAGGAAAGAAGCACACAATTATCTCTATATGTCTTCAGGGTTTCCTTTGGCCTACTTGACTCTGAAAATGAACATGTGCGTTGGATTGATTGACTTTATTTTCACCTTCGGGCTCACGCACATGACTGAAAGATCCTTCAATATTCTATATGTGTGTTTTTTCGGAAATGCATTCGGCTTGTTTCGTAGTATATCTTACGTAAGGCCCCGTTTGGGGTTGCTTTTTTTAGTCAAAAATCGACTTCACTTTAAAGTTAAGCAGTTTAAGATGTTCGGTAAAAATAAAATGTTTTTTTTAAAAGCAATGGCTTTCTGTCAACAGCTTTTAAAAGCAGCCTCTAGATTGCTTTTGAAAGTTGCTTAAGCAGGGAATAACCTTTAATGAATTTTTAATATTCCCATAATACCATAATTAATTTTTAAAAAGGCTTAATTACACAAATGCCACTTAAAACTTCAGTCAAATCTCACTTTGCTCCCCACCCCAACTCAAAATGGCTCACTTTCATCCATTGACTAAGGTTTGGTGACTCACTTTGCTCATACCATCAACCCCATCTAAAAGTGTGTTAACTTTAATGACGTGATATGGGTGTTTTTGTGATTTCATACACATGGATCAGTATTCACTAATTCGGTGAGTGATGTGGCAAGTGAAGTCCACCTCCAAATGGATAAAATATTTAATTAAATACTCTCTTTTTTTTGTTGGAATTAAATACTCTAATTAAATATGGTCTTTTTATCCCGCACTGGTGTGAGATGGGGACGTGATAATATGTGGAGCCCACCTCTATATACCTTTTTTAAGAAATTAATTAAACAAATAAAATAACAGTAGAAGAAAAATACAATTCCTCACTTCGCCTCCCCTTTTCCCCACCTCAACCCCATCGCAACTAGGGGTGGCAATTTAGACCGAAAAATTGAAAAACCGCAAAAATCAACCGATAATTTACCGCAATGGAACCGCAATCACGGGAAACCGAACCGCAATTGCGGTATGAAGAACCTAACCGCATTTGCGGTTGCGGTTGCGGTATTTGATTTTCAAAACTTGCGGTTACCGCAAACCGCAACTATTTTTTTTAAAAAAAAATTATACAAGGAAATGGAACATATGACAACTTGTAAGTAATTAGTTTATTTATGCTCATGTTATTTATGCTTTTTCTTATAATAAAATGTACTAAACTTATGTTGTTTTATTTGTAGATAGCATTAGTGCTCAAACAACACAACGGGGTCCTTCAAATCCACTCACCACCACCAACACTTGAGTTTGTGACATTGGTGCACTGCATTTTCCTTTTAGTTTGTAACTTTAATTAACTTTGAATTGGATTTTTCCTTTGGGTTGTAACTTTAATTCATTTTGCATTGCATTTTCCTTTTGGTTTGTAACTTTAAAGGATTTGGAATTGGAATGCTTGAGAAGTTGAGGTTGTGAATGCTTGAGAAGTTTAACTTTAATTGGAATGCTTGGAATTGTAACTTTAATTTTCTTTAGGTTGTGAATGCTTGAGAAGTGGAGGAGGTTGTGAATTTATATATGTTTGAGAAGTTGAGGTTGTGAATTTATTTCTTTAGGTTGTAATTTATGTTTTTGGGTTAAAGTATGCTTGAACTCAAGAAGTATCAAAATTAGGCCTAAAATGTGGAAGATTGGATTTTTATGACACAAAAAGAACTTGCGGTTTTAAACCGCTAATTCACGGTAACTGACCGCTTTTTGCGGACTGCAAAAATCGGTCGGTTTGCGGTTTCAAAAATCATCATACTGCAAATAGTCGGTCGGTTTGCGGTTTGGGCAAAAATTCGCGGTTACCGAACCGCAACCACCCATAATCGCAACCATCCCACCTCAACGCCCATCGCACCCATGTATCAGATTCATTCTCTCTCTCTCTCTCTCCATTCGTAATTTTTTTGCAAAATAATTCTCCCAACCCTGCTATCACAAAGTTTAAAGTTTCCCAATGCCAAAAACCTACCCACTGCCGATCTGGTCTCTTTCCTTATGAACACCTCCGCACAGTATCTCCATCTTCTTCTTTTTCTTTTATTTATTTACTCTCTTTTTTTCTGAATTATTTCCTTTCTCAATGATGCAATTTACTCTTGCACCAAATTATCACCGCACCGCACCATTTTCCAATCTCCAAATGATGAACAAGAACCAAACCCACCGTACCTGCCCCTGGCTTGGCTGCCCCACCTCAGCAAAAGCACTCAAAATCTCCTTAGGCGACGCCGACTGCATGGGCAGTGGGTGTGCTGAAGAAGTTTAGTGGGGTGTGCTGAAGAGATTTGGATGGCCGGACTGGGTTGAGGTCGAGAAGGGGTTGGATCTGGTGAGCTCGTCGTCGGAATCTCTCCGTCTCTCTGTAACCTCCCCAATTCGTCTCTCTGCTTTAGTTGGGTGGGTGGTTGTTTAGGTATGGTGTTGGCTGGATAAATTGGGCTGGAGAGGTTGGATCCGGAGAGGAGAGAGAGACAAATAGCCAAAAATTGAACTTGTGAAAACTAGTATCATGGATGCTCATCCAATCATGAAAAAAGACAGCTGAAAACAATGAGCTAAATGTCTGCCTTGTCTTGGCAAAAATCAATCATGATAACAATTTATGTAAAACATGCAGTCAAATTATCTCAACTAATGCAAAAACTAGAGTGCATTCTTAATTTGTCGGATCACCTTTCTTTGAGCGGCATTTCTATGCCCCAAGATGGATATGATTAAGTCCTCATTGGTTCCCCATCCTGCAATTGTATTGATAAAAATTCAAGATTACATTATCAGATCATTTACGTTGTATCTAACACTAACAATTAGATCGGTGAAATGCGATTGATCAATCATCAATCATAAAGCCAATTACAAAAATATGGGGTGGTTTATGATGAGAACAAGAAATGATGCGAGGGAGTAAAAGATCAGAAAAATAATAAAGAAGGAACCTTTGAAGGCCTGTTTGAGCTGCTCACAGTCTTCGGATGCAGGAGGAACTTGTTGAGGAACTCTAAGGGTCGACATCGTTACTATAGCTCTCTCTCTCTCTCTCTCTCTCTCTCTCTCTCTCTCTCTAAGAAAATCGAAAACGAAAATGGCTCTGGTCTATGAACCTCTGTTTCTATACTAAATATATATGGTGTTTGGAAGCTATCCATATATAGTAGCATAGTATGGCCCTTGCAATTATCGCCACGTCAAATACTACATTTGTTCCTGTTACATTGGTCTTGGTAATTTAATTTTCACAATTGAATTGTTTATTAATGATTTTGGGGTGGTTTACAATTTCAAATTCTCGTCTGTATATAAAATTACTAAACAAAACCCTTATTTTATTTCATTATGTTTTTCCTCACAAGGATAAACAAACTGTAAAGCATCCTAGATAAAGTATATATAGAACCATGGCACAGTGCACAGAGAAAGTGAAATAAATTACAAGGAAACATCTATGGAGAATCTTTCTTCTGAAAAGAAGACACAGAGAAAGTGAAATGTGTGTAGCAAAAGACACAGAGAAAGTGAAATGTGTGTAGCAAAGAAGCACATTCTGATCAGGTAGCCAAAGGATCAAGAGCAAGCAATTCACCACATGTTATCATACGTAATGGCTTTGACAAATGCATCCTCTGAGTTGAGAGAAGTTGAGAAACTTGTTTCATTGTTGGACGAGATTTCGGACTGGAATTCAAGCATGAAAATGCTATCTTCATAAGAGAGACCACTTCGCTTGCAACTCGATGCGTAGGAGGGGAAATGCGTTGGTCCAAAACATCTACAATTGGTATTTGATGTGCTGGTAATGCAGATGATGATGAGGAGTAGGAGGATGAAGAGACTGATGAGAAAGATGAGAAAAGATCTCCTGGATGCTTTCCCTTAACTATTTCCAATGTGACCACACCAAAGCTATAAACATCGCAGTTCTCATTCACTTCCATTGTGTAAGCAAGCTCTGCTCAGAGAAAATCTCAGAGAAGTGGCATTATTAGTTTATAGACATAACTATTCAATGGAATTTTAACGAAACTGTATCATGCATAAATCGAATTATTAGTTTATAGTCATATTTTCTAAAACAAAGAAGTGAAATGTGTTTATGTTAACCGCTCCTAATGATGAAAATGAAGCATTGATCTAAAACCAAAAAAAGGGCTAAATACATAGAACAAGGAATCGCAATATTACCTGGTGCCATGTAGCCATATGTGCCCGCAACGGCAGTCCAATTAGTTGAGTCTGGATTTAAAAACTTAGCTATGCCAAAGTCTGAAACACAGGCCTCATATTCAGAATCCAACAAAATGTTCTTGCTTGAGATGTCACGATGTACAATCGGTGGCAAGCAATCGTGGTGCATGTAAAACAAGGCATGAGCTACACCTTTAACAATATTCACCCTTTTACTCCACCCCAACTCTTTAGCTTCTTCATCTTTGCTCAACATTGAGGCCAAGCTACCTCTTTCAAGATACTCATACACCAAAAACGAGTGTCGTTTATGTGAGCAGAAACCATAGAGCTTCACAATATTTCGATGTCTTATCTCACTGAGTGCCCTTACTTCATTCAAGAACTCCTTTTGAAATTTTGTCTCGCCATCCCATAGCAGATGGAGTTTCTTCACGGCCACTACGTCTCCAGATGACAAATTCACTCTGTAGACGCTTCCATGTCCTCCTTTCCCAATGCAATATGTGGAATCAAAATCTTCTGTTGCCCTTATGATTTCCTCATACATTGATTTTCCATCAAAATTTAAAACCGAAAAGGAAATTTCTCCGTGCAAGTGGTTTTGTTTAGTATCTTGATGCTTCTTATTTCTTTGCACTATTACAAAGACAATTGTAAAGAGAGCAAATAGAAGTACAAATACTGTTAGAACATAGAATATGACCTTATGGTCCTTTTTTGAGCCTTGTGCATTGCAGGGTGGCAGCATAGCTCTAAATTTGCCACACAATCCTTTGTTCCCTTTCAATCTTTCTGACGGAGCTTCTCGAAATGCATTGATGTTGGGAAGGGGACCTTCCAAGTGATTGTAGGATATGTCAACATACGACAAGCCGTGCATCTCTTCGAAACTTGATGGTATGGAACCCGAAAGATTGTTGTGGGAAAGATCGAGCGTCATCAAACTCTCCATATTGCTCATTGCTGATGGTATGCTACCTTCAAGAAAGTTATGACTTAAATCCAGTTCGTTCAATTGAACTAACTTCCCCAATTGAAGTGGAATTGCTTGAGATAACTTGTTGTTGCTCAAATTCAGATGGTATAATTTGTGCAAGTCACATAGAATGCTCGGAATTGAGTCACTGAATCTATTTGTTGACAAGTCAAGATAATCAAGATCAATCAATGATCCAAATTCCAAAGGTATACGACCCGAAAGTTGATTTCTATTCAACTTCAACCTTTCCAAAAAAGTCAGTCTCCCGAATCCTATTGGAATCAACCCAACTAAATGATTGGAAGAGAGATCTAGCTCATGAATTTGGGTTGCATTGCCTATCTCAGGTGGGATGCTCCCAGTAAGGTTGTTTCTTGCCATTCGTAGGGCTGTCAGCTTTGGGCATTGTCCCCAGTTGTGTGAGATTTCTCCATACAAGTTGTTGTGGCTTATATCCATAAAATCAAGATTCGGATAAACACCGAAGTCTTCAGATATATTGCTCCTCAATTGGTTTTGCTCAAGACGGACTCTGAATAAGCCCTTGCAATTTTTCAAGCATTTGGGGATTGGACCAGTCAAATAGTTTGTGTGTACTGAAAAGTTTGTGAGTTTTCCACCTTGGCAGATATTTGGGGGCAAATAACCAGACAATTGGTTTGTATCCAACACCAGGAAAGTCAAATTCTTGAGATTCTCTAACTCTTGGGGAATGGAGCCGGAAAGTTGGTTATCGCGTAGGAATAAGATCTCCAAGTTGCTCAAGTTAGCAAATGAGGCTGGAATTGAATTGTTGAGTTGATTCACGCTTAAATATAGGTCTACAAGAGATTTCAAGTTCCCTATCTCCTTGGGAATCAAACCAGAAAGTTGATTGGAATCCAAGTACAAAGTGTTTAGGTTTGTTAAGTTACCAATATTAGGAGGGATGAGACCACTTAAATTGTTTTCGGACAACTCTAGATCTACAAGAGATTTCAAGTTCCCTATCTCCTTGGGAATCAAACCAGAAAGTTGATTGGTATGCAAGTACAAAGTGTTTAGGTTTATTAAGTTACAAATATTTGGAGGGATGAGACCACTTAAATTGTTTTCAGACAACTCTAGATCTACAAGAGATTTCAAGTTCCCTATCTCCTTGGGAATCAAACCAGAAAGTTGATTTGTACCCAAGTACAAAGTGTTTAGCTTTATTAAGTTACCAATATTTGGAGGGATGAGACCACTTAAATTGTTGAAGGACAACTGTAGATCTACAATAGATTTCAAGTTCCCTATCTCCTTGGGAATCAAACCAAAAAGTTGATTTTTACCCAAGTACAAAGTGTTTAGGTTTATTAAGTTACCAATATTTGGAGGGATGAGACCACTTAAATTGTTGTAAGACAACCTTAGATTTACAAGGGATTTCAGGTTGCCTATCTCTTTAGGAATTTCCCCCAACAAAGTATTTTTAGAGAGACGAAGAAACCTAAGATTTCTTAGGAGACCGATTTCTGGTGGGATTCTCCCGGAGAACTGATTATAGGAGAGATCGAGATGGTGGAGTTTGGAGAGGTAGCTGATTTGAGGTGGGATGGCATCAAAGAGTTTGTTCAAGCTGAGGTTAAGATATTCAAGATTAGGGAAGGACAAGAATGAAAACTCATGTAGCGTACCTTGAATACCACAAGTGGAAAGGTTTAGCTTGCTGACACTTCCAGCTGAGTTGCATGAAACACCAGTCCAAGTGCATGGGCTTGTTCTTGGTTTTCGATTGGTGCTGGAAGAATTGGTGGCATGAATATGATGAGTGGGAGGGTCGTACCATGTGAGGTTATTGAGGGCTTGATTTAGAAATAAGCTGGCTTTCCATTTGAGAAGAGCCTTTGCTTCAGTATGAGAAGTAGAAGTAGCAGCAGGAAAAGCAACCCAATTTGGTGATGAAACATACAACAAGATGACAAGGCAATAAGGCAGGAAGCATAGTTGAGCGGAAGTTAAAGATGTCATGCTTATTGTTTGTGTGGTATACGTATATTGTACGGCCGTGCCTTACTAGTTATATATAGTGTGGGTTAGTCTTTTGAGTAAAGTCTTATTGTTTTCTTACTAGTTATATATTGTTTGTGAGGTAATTATTTGTTTCTTCATTGAATATCCTTTATTACTTGTTCAGTTGAGCATTGAAAAGTCTTTCGGATCTCATCTATAATAAGTTTTCTTTTGAGTAAAGGTCTCAGTCTTTCATTCTCTAAATTTAAATGCCAATTTTGTATTTTCTGGATGAAATAATGAAATGAAATTGATGGAGGTGAGAGATAACCATATGCATGACTTAGGGGTTTAGACGTGTCCCACCCACCTGAATGCTTGAAAAAGATTTATTTGTTTAATTCAAATCTCCCTATCCTCAAAATCAGGCCAAGTCTTTTTTACAATTGAGTGAGCTTACTGCCATTGTTAGAATTGTAATAAAGTCTTTGTCTCAGTGGTTGTTGTTACAATGTCAATTTTGCATTTTCTGGCTATATGCTTGAATAATGCTTGGCACATTATTATTATTATTTATTATTTTTTAGACACAAATTGAATGAAAGTTAGACACAAATTGCGTGCAAAAGGCTGGAGCCAAAGTCTTTGTCTCTCGTTATTTATAGTTATAATTAAATGTCAATTTTGCATTTGCGGAAATAAAATGGATGGCAGTGAGAGCGTCGTTGATGGTTTGTTTTGTCGTTAATCAGTTGCCTTAAAATGATGTTGTTCGGAATATTGTTTCTCACTATGTTTTACATTTTTTTGAGCTTGGACCACCAAACTACCTAGCTGGATCATAAACCCTATCACATTCAGCTCTGACAAATCAAACAGAGAGAAAAATAACGTTTTTTTTTGTGTGGGTATACATATCTTCAGTCAAATAGAAAAGAAGCATACATATCTTCAGTCAAAGTCTTTGTATGTTATCTATAATGTTAAAATTGGAAAGTTTGCATGTTTTCGCTGAACTTGTATTCTTCCTATTATTACGATCCATGAGTCAAGAACACAATTTCTATTCATAGATGTTTTAAAACCATCTAAATAATCAAGTTCACCCAACAATAATTTTTTTTTAAAAAAACACATTTAAATTCAAGTTTAATCCTATTAATAAAATTTCACATAGAGAGGCTGCCCAAGACGACATAATTGAGGCTAAATTTGTTTTCTACAATTTTATTTGTCATAAATAATTAAGACATTAATGTGCAAAACATGTTTGTTTGGTTGAACTTGGAGATTTGCATGGTTTAAATAGAAACCTATAATATTCGTTGTCTTTATCACTTGACTTGGCTGCTACTGAGAGTTTGAGAGGCCTTAAAATGAGCATGGTCATCTGTTTTAGCTAAGAATTGACAAGATAAATTATTAAAGGAGCTATTCAACTCAATGCACATGACTTGGAAAACTAATTTGATTATGTTTGTTTTTTAGTATGCACAACTTTCTCATAGACTTTTCTCAGATCAAGGGTTCCACGACTTTGATGTTTTTGGGAGAAAAATATATTGGAATTACTTAAATGAAATTGATAGAAAGTGAAAGGTTACTATTTGCGTGATATAGGGGTTCAAAAGTGTCCCACATCTATGCTTGCCACTGCACTATGTCACATGGTATGACATGAGAGCCTGTTCCTAGTGCTCTTGATTAAGTTGTGTGAGAACCTTCGCGTGGTTTTGTTGATTAAGTTGTGTGCATACTGTAGAGCCAAGCTTCTCTTCCAGCAGCCAGTTGCAAGTCAAGGTCCATTTTATCGTTAAAAGATTCCATGTGCTTCTCTTCCAGCAGCCAGTTGCAAGTCAAGGTCCATTTTATCGTTAAAAGATACCATGTGGGCACTATGAGGGCAAATTGGTCAATTTGTACCTTATAAACAATTAAAAACTGAAAAATAAAATAAGATCAAACATATACACAACAAAAAAGAATTATAACATAAATAGAGAAAACATATTCTTTGTTTGGGGAGTGCTAGCAACCTTCTCTTTAACCTTCTCTTTTGGACCTTCTCCCTTCTTCTCATGACAAGTGTCACTTTCCTTACACTTAAAACAATGTCATTAATGCATCACACAAACTAGTTTTTGTTTTCCAAGTTTACCCTTATTTAATGTATTAATTTTTTTTAATAACAAGTTAATTTTTTTACAACTTTCTTACCATCTTGTTAAAAAATTAAATAAGAAAATAAAAACTGAAGTTTTTAAATTTTTTTTTTTTCCAAAGAGAACGTGTGTTTTGTTATAAACAAAATAAAGATGATAACAATGTCATGAAACGAACTTTATTTTTTTTTCAAAAAAATATGACGTTTTTCTTATTTTTTTTATTATTTAATTTTTAATAATGTGCTAAAGAAGTTGTAACAAAATTTGAATAAATTGAAGGAAATATAGAAGCCAATACATTTTAAAAGGGTAAACTTGGAAAACAAAAACTAACTTGTGTGATGAATTAATGACATTGTTTTAAGTGTAAGGAAAGTTACACTTGTCATAAGAAGAAGGGAGAAGGTCCAAAAGACAAGGTTGGAGAGAAGGTTGCTAGTATTTCTCTCTTTGTTTTTCAGAATACTGTTTTCCACTCTCCAAACGACCCAGCTAGATTATAAACCCTAGATCACACTCAGCTCTGACAAGTCAAGGTCCATTTTGTTGATTTCAAGTTCCCTATGTCATTGGGAATCAAACCAGAAAGTTTATTGTTATTCAAGTACAAAGTGTTTAGCTTTATTAAAAGTCATCAATATTTGGGGGGATGACACCTCTTAAATTGTTGTTGGACAAACACTAGATATACAAGAGATTTCAAGTTCCTTATCTCCTAGGGAATCAAACCAAAAAGTTGATTGGAATGCAAGTACAAAGTGTGTAGGTTTATTAAGTTACCAATATTTTGAGGGATAATACATGAATTTTGTGTGTATTATTGAAAATTTTGTAAAAACAATAAGTGTAATAAACATGAAAAATACATATGTATGTGTACAATACGAGTATTAAACGTGAAAATGTTAAATTCTTATCAATAACTTTGAAAAAGTAAATACTCAAAAGGGGACAATAGAGACTCGGGTAATGGCCTAATAGTAATAAATAATGCTCTAAACTACTCTTATCAATAAAAAAAAATCGAGGAAAAACAAATTTTTAAAAAAAAATCACAGTGTCTATGTTTGGGTGAAACACAAGACATTTCTAATCAATTTTCCGTTTTATATTGTAATAATATTAAAAATCCACCATGCATGCTCTGGTAGTATAAGGTTCTTTTCTTAATCGCCTATACATATGTTCTACCTCACCAGATGCCCTCTCTACTTAGGACATCTATGTGCAGGTTGTTCTACCTCACCAGATGCCCTATACATATGTTCTACTTAGGACATCTGGTTGTTCTACCTCACCAGATGCCCTCTCTACTTAGGACATCTATATGCAGGTTGTCCTTCAAATTTGAGTTACTTTTTTATTTCAACTTATTGGTCTGCTGGTATATCGTAGGTAGGTAACAAGCTTCAACATATGCAGCCTCTCCGAATATAAAGATACTGAGAAGGGTTTTTGTCATGAATGGTCCTTGAATTTTTCAAAAGTCCTTATTTGAATTCTCAAACTTTCCAATCAATCAATATGATCCTTAGCCCTCTGTTTGGATGAAGAAATTGAAACTCTGAAAAACAAAGGAAAAAAAATTACATATGTTGCTCAACAAGGCTATGTACTCTCCTTGATGAAACCTAAATGTGAAACCTTGAATGGAAAGCAGATGATTTTGTTGAGCAAAAATTTGAGTTCTAGGACTAAATAAGTTGAGTAATATTTTGATGAAATAAGTTGGTCAGATGATGATACGTGACCAGTTTTAACAAAGTTTTGTTGGAATGCGACAACAAAACCAAATTGATGTGAGACCAAAATATAAAG